GTCAGAGACTGACCTTTATTCGGCAGGCATGACAACCAAAATCAGATGAACACACAACGTCAAGCTGTAGCATCATCAGACGTTGATATTTGGTTGATTTTAGGTTGGACTCTGGCCTGCTGTTGGGTTCTGACCTGAACTCGATGTTGATCTGCAGTCATGATGACGTCCTGCGCCTGCTGTGTTAAGTACTGTAAAGCAGGTTTCATCTCTTCCTATGAAACTAATATATAGTTTAAGAGCAAATGACAGCTCGCTCCTGCATTTAAAGTGTGATCCGCACGATCATCATTGTGAATTGGTCCTCCAGCTCTTTAATTGTGTTTGTGCGCTCTCGGTGAGACGTGGAGAGTGTGTTTCTGCACTCTATAAAACACACAGTTTGATTGTGTGAAATGTCATCGGGATTGATTCCGCTCCGGCATTACCATTCTAATCAGTGGTGTAGAACCAGATGTAACAAAAACACACAGCCGCGCCCCGGGCTACGGCGGAATTGGACAAGGCCCGGGAAATTGTGTCGGCGAGAGAAACAAGTGTTAGGTGATTGTTTACTTCATGTCTTTAAATTGCATTTCTTCCGTTTTAATTCCTGCGGCGTCAGGAGGGGACGGAGCCGGAGTTTCCCCTCTCGGATGCTTACCAAATGCAAATGTCAGGAGCCGCGGCCCGCAGCGACAGCACTGTCCCTGGAGAAACACCGCAATCACAAACAACTCAATCTGGAGTCCTGTTTTCCAGAAACACGTTTACACGCATCCCTCCACTGCGGACAGCAGAGCTTCACCTGCAGGAGTATTCACAACCAGCGGCTTCATAATGCAGAAATCTGATCATGGGCACTGCAAACACACGCTTTCATGAGGAATAAAAGAGCTTCTGTCTTGTTTCTAGTCCAAACGTCTCAAAATTCCCATATCGAAAAGCATTTTCAAGACAATCGCATGTATGAGGTGGTGTTTTCAGAAATACGTCATAAATGAAGAGAGTTTCCCTAAGATTCATACATTTGTTTTCTCTTCAGCTTAGTCCCTTCATTAATCAGGGGTCGCCACAGTGGAATGAACCACCAACTATTCCAGCATATGTTTTACATAGCGGATGCCCTTCCAGATGCAACCCAATACTGGGAAACACCCATACACTCTCAATCACACTCATACACTACGGACAATATAGTTGATCAGTTCCCCTATAGCGCATGTGTTTGGACTGTGGGGGAAACCGGAGCACCCGGATGAAACCCACGCCAACAAGGGGAGAACATGCAAACTCCACACAGAAACACCAACTGACCCAGCTGAGACTCAAACCAGCGACCTTCCTGCTGTGAGGCCACAGTGCTGACAATTAAAAAAATAAAACGTTTGGCTTAGTCACTTTATTCATCAGGGGTCACCACAGTGGAATGAACCACCAACTATTCCAGCATATGCATTACACAACGGATGCCCTTCCAGCTGCAACCCAGTACTGGTAAACACCCATACACTATGGCCAGTTTAGTTGATCAGTTCCCCTATACCGGAGCACCCGGAGGAAACCCACGCCAACACGGGGAGAACATGCAAACTCCACACAGAAATGCCGAGACTCGAACCAGCGACCTTCTTGCTGTGAGGCCACAGTGCTAACCACTGAGTCACAATAGTTGCTCAAAATAAAACAAAGAAAAAAAATACAAACTTCAAAATTTTAACCAAAAGGTTATATTTTAAATGATTTCCTCTTGATTTTTCCTGTTAATTAAATCTTTATTAATTACCATCATATCAATGTACTAATCGAGTGAACAGGCATTGAAAGGAGCTGTGATTATAAGAAGTCACTCCACGTCAGAATAACATGCATTATTCATATATATTTGTGATAAACTTCTTTATTATTATTACTATTTGATAATAAGCATGTAGCTTGGTACGGTAATCTGAGTGTGTCAAATAAGAACAGGTTGAGCAGCCTGCTGAAGGTGGCAGGCGAGATCATCAGTTTAACCAGACTGGTCCAATGCTGATTCACCATACTGGTGTTTAAAGAGAGCTCAGGGTATCCTGCACCCCGGACCACCTGCTGTCTCTGCGGTTCAGCTGCTGCCATCAGGACGTTGTTTTACAGTGTTTTATAATGGTGGCCATCAGGTCATTAAATGAGTCAGGGGGAGGGAGATGCACAATAGCAATGATATATGTTGTGTTGCAATATTTTATTAATGTGTACATGGAACTTGCTGCAGTTTTAGTTTTTCTAAATGGGATAATAAAGTTGAGTCTGAGTCTAATAAGCCAGTGGTATAGCATGAATCGTGACCTAACCTAAAGTGTTACCAAATATATTGTGTAATAAATAATATACTGTATAGAGAATTATCAGCAGGTCTCAGCACTGAATCTACAACACCAACACAGACCATACATCACCTCAAACTAATAAAAAGGTCAATAAAAACCAACAAAACTGTTCATATTCAAAAGCAGTGATTTATTGTTATCATTAAACGACTAAACTGTGATCATTTCATTCAGGATAAGCGGGATATAAACAGAGAATGACTGGTCCTCTAAAAGCATGCATGCTCTCAGTGTAAACACACTGCTCATGAATAAACCCGTGCACATGTCTGTTCAGCTGAGCTGTGTGAGTGTGATCAAAGCGGCTGATTACAGTCACTGCAGCACATGTTTGAGCAGATCAATGTTCAATATGTGTTTTAACCTCTTCATAAAGCTGCTGATGTTTTACTGAAGGAGAGTCTCTGTCGCCCTCAGCTGGAGGATTGATATATAACTGGTGTATTTTCATTGATCAGCCACAAGAGGGCGGCAGAGCCTGTTAAACACGACCAGAAATATCATTAAAAATAATAATAATAATTAATAAACCTTATATATATATATATATATATATATATATATATATATATATATTTTTTTTTTTTTTTTTTTTTTTTTTTTTACATGTAAATATATTTTATTTTGACATGTAAATATATGATATGAAATATGGTGTCATATGAAACGTGTTTTGATACAGTTTAAAATGTGTTTTTTTTAATATAAAGATCCTGTTTAACCTGTTTGATGTAAAGAATTAAGAGTTTAATTTCTGTTGTCTCTACACTGAGATTTATGTGGATTTTAGTGTTTAGTAAATTAATTATATGAGCTCTTGTGTAACTACTTTACAGACAGTCATTAGAAGCGTAATGTAAATACTTTGATGTTGTTAGTAATTAACTGCTTTTTTAATTAACTTTCAGTGCATTGCATATTCAATAAAACTGTAAAGACGCTGTGATGTCTTCAAGACACACAAACAATCTCAGTTTAATATCGTTTACTCTCTCTCAATGTTTATGAGTGTCTTTCAGCCACTGAACGCAACAAAGATGTTCTGAAGGAGAGTGGAAGACACGGAGACTGCCGTATTATTCCGTCCGGTTATTATTATGTTTATATAGCAGGTTCAAATTGAATGTAAACTTTTGCTTGTTTGTTATGTAAGTCCTTTTGATTTGTTAATGAGTCTGATTTCTTAAAATGTAAATACTGTCATTCGACAGGTAGACTGGGATTGTTGATGTTTCATAACCTGAGTATTGCTGCTGACCATGTCCATCCCTTTATGAGCACAGTGTCTCCATCTTCTGATGGCTACTTCCAGCAGGATAACGCAGCATGTCATAAAGCTCAATCATCTCAGACTGCTGAACATGACGATGAGTTCACTGTACTCAAATGGCCTCCACAGTCACCAGAGCTCAATCCAATAGAGCAGCTTTGGGATGTGGTGGAACGGGAGATTGGCATCATGGATGTGCAGCCGACAAATCTGCAGCAACTGTGTGATCATGACAATATGGAGCAAAATCTCTGAGGAATATTTCCAGCAGCTTGTTGAACCTCTGACACCAAAGATTAAGGCAGTTCTGAAGGCAAAAGGGGAGGGGTAACCTGCTGCTAGTAAGGTGTACCTAATAAAGTGGCCCAGTGAGTATATATATATATATATATATACATTTGCAGCATTCGATAATCTAATTTAAAGCAACGTGTTCTGGTTATTTTTGAAATATTATATAATAAATTAGGAAATTATTGTAGAAAATGTTGATCTAATACAGTTATTTACCATCGACTTACAGACATTAGTCAAGTTTGGTGTTTGGCTCTTCATGAGGAAAAGATTTGGGCGCTCTAGATCTGCGGCAGCATTCTGAAAACAAGAGCTGTGGATTTCTAGAGCTATTTAGGAGATCATAGAGAGAGAGAGAGAGAGAGAGAGAGAGAGAGAGAGAGAGTGTGTGTGTGTGTGTGTGTGTGTGTGTGTGTGTGTGTGTGTGTGTGTGTGTGTGTGTGTGTGTGTGTGTGTGTGTGTGTGTGTGTCAGCCAGCAGATGGCGCTCTCACTGTAAACATCACTAATATAACATGTGAACATTGTTGTGTTGGAGCATGTGGAGTGTGTGGATGACAGCGTTCAGTTCCAGAAGCTTCTCATTGTGAATATGTTCATTTCTCGGTGAAGTCTTGATGGCTATAGTATGCTTGAGATGGGGGAAACTACAGACTGCAGAGACAGTAATCCAGAGTCGAGCCAGAATGTGATGATGCTGTGTGCTAAACTGCACATTTCCACAGAAGCAGATCTTATTAAGACTCATGTGAGCAACACTGTTCCTCTCACTGAGGACAAACAAGCCTGAATAACGAGTGTTCGCCCATTACTTCTCTAATTCAGCCTCAGCCTGAGCTGTGCTTAACACCCCTGCCCTTTAGCATCTTTCTGTATTATTGCATTCACGTGTTTACTTGTTTCTTTGCTTGGTTTTGTATTCATTTTACTTGTTTTTTATTTTTATTTTTTTTATTTTTTTAAGGTAAACAAACCTGAGTATGTGTTCGTGTGTGTGTCCGAGCGCCCACTCGTGGAGAGCACCGTCATCTTTCAGGAGGATGTGCGCATGCGCAGTCACATCAGCGCGGAGCATCTTATGGCGTGAGCGGAGGAGGAGCAGTCCCGCGCATGCGCAGTGGCGGCGGGATTCTGCCCCTCCATGACATCCAGCGGGACTGAGTGAGTGCGCGCACACGGAGAGAGCCGCGAAATACATGATCCTCCTCCAGACCCCGCTCCAGCACGTTATAACGCGTCATTAGGCGTCAAGCAGCCACACACACACACCGACGGTCGAGATGAGGATGAAGAAGAGCGCGCACGCGGATGAGGAGAAGCGCGCTCCCTTCAGGAACCCGTTCGTGCACGAGCTGCGCTTCACGGCTGCGCAGAAGCTGCAGGTACGCGCGCGTGTGTGTTTGCCCGCGTGTGTGTGTTTGCTGTGTGTGCACGGTGTGGTGTGTGTGGATGATAATGTAGGCCTGATAGTGATGCTGCTGATCTCCGGCCTGCTGGAGCAGAGTTTCCTTCCTGTGCTACATGTTGCGCTCGGCCTTCAGCAGCCAATCAGCAGCGAGCAATCCTGCGGCTCGTCCTTCAGCAGCCAATCAGGAGGCAGGAATCTTGCGGCTCAGCTGCGGCACAGACGCGCTTCAGAACACGTGACATAGATGCCGCTTTTGTCTTCAGCTGAGCCGCGACACACACACACACACACACACACACACACCCCAATACAACTGTTAGGTCTTGTCAGATGCTTTATCTATCTATCTATCTATCTATCTATCTATCTATCTATCTATCTATCTATCTATCTATCTATCTATCTATCTATCTGTATGTGTTGCTTTATCTGTGACTGTTTGTCTCTGTCGCTCTATCTGTCTTATCTATATCTCGTCACTATAACTCACAGAATCTATCGATTTCTCTGTCCCTCTATCTATATCTCTCTTGCTATATCTATTTTTGCTGTTACACTGTATCCCTCTATCTATCCTTGTTGCTTCATCTACCTATATCTCTGTTGTATATCTATCTCTGTCGCTCTATATTTCTTGCTATATCTATCTCTCTGTTGCTCTATCTCTGTATTTCTGTCACTATTTATATATATATATATATATATATTTAGGCGACGCAGTGGTGCAGTAGGTTGCACAGCAAGAAGCAAGAAGGTCGCTGGCTTAATCCTCGGCTCAGTTGGCATTTCTGTGAGGAGTTTGCATGTTCTCCCTGCGTTCGCGTGGGTTTCCTCCGGATGCTCCGGTTTATTTCGGTTATTTCTGTCTCTATCTATCTATCTATCTATCTATCTATCTATCTATCTATCTATCTATCTATCTATCTATCTATCTATCTATCTATCTATCTCGCTCTATGTCCCTCTATACTGTATATCTGTCACTTAGTCTTGCCATATCTATTTCTCTGTCACTCTATATATCTTTATATTTTTGCCACTCTATCTCTCTCACTATCTATATCTATTTATCTGTCATTCTCTCGCTCTATCGCTTTGTTGCTTTATTTCTCTGCTGCTCTATTTCTCTCACTATGTGTTGCTCTATTTGTCACTATCTCTTTGTAGCTCTGTTTGTCACTATATGTCGCCCTATCACCGTGACTGATTCTATCTATCTATCTATCTATCTATCTATCTATCTATCTATCTATCTATCTATCCATCCATCCATCCATCCATCCATCCATCCATCCATCCATCCATCCATCCATCCATCCATCCATCCATCCATCCATCCATCCATCCATCTATCCATCAGCATGCAGTCCTCCAAGCTCATGATGGAGTCAGACAGGATCTTCATTCTCTCTCCACTGCAGCAGGACTTTATATTCTATACTGGACATTATTTCTGTCACCAAATCATCAAGTAGAAGTCCAGTTATTATTTGTGTTCCTAAAAGTCAGATAGACCACAAGACGTTTGGTAGGTTGTGTATTGATCAAGAGTTGAGAGTACATGAGGAGGGGGATCGGTACAATGAGGTGCCGTATCCGGCATGTTCTGGCACAAATTAAGCCCTGTTGGTGCCGCAAGCGCACCAGGGTTCAGAAGGAAAAAGACGGTGTGAACACAAACCAACAGAGGAGGTGGCAAGGGGGGGACAATCGAACTTGGATACGGTCCAGACAATGAACCAAGTATGAAAGCTCCAGAAGACTAATTCATATTTTTATACTATGGCATTTATTTTAAGGACACCCTGAACACAAACATGTGTCTTTATTATGTAACAACAATTACATCAACTTTATTTTCATCAGATTAAATAGGTTTTGGGGCGACACAGTGGCGCAGTAGGTAGTGCTGTCGCCTCACAGCAAAAAGGTCTCTGGTTCAATCCTTGGCTCAGTTGG